TGCACGAGGGCACAGTTGAGGGCGCTTTTTTAACGCGCCCGTCACATGAGATTCAAGGCTTGAATCCGCCAGATTCCAGATGCCAGTTGGACGACCGACGAACGTTGTTTCCTTCTACGCAGTGCATGGCACCCGATGTGGCACGGCTCGTGGTTTTGTATACACTTTTCTATACGGGGTCGGCAAAGTCGTGTTTACAAATAAGGCCCGCCCTTTTTCTTCGCCACGTCTCACGAACCACTTCAACGTGCGCCAGCTTAGCACCGCGGGTTGGTTTGGTCACTTTTCAATTTGCCTCGTCCGCATCAACCCACAACACAAAACGTCTCGAGCATGGCCGGCAGCAAGCACCCGAACCCGACGTCGGTCGAACTCCTTTGCCAAGCCAAGAAGCAGCGCTGCGTGAGCCAGAAGCAGCTCGAGAGCAACCGCGCGCGCTCCAAGAAGTACTACGAAGAGCACCGCGAGCACGTGCTCGCCAAGCTCCGTGCCAACTACCTCGAGAACCGCGAGAAGGAGCGCTTGCGGCAGCGGGAAAAGTATCTGCGCTTAAAGGCGCGCAAGATGCACGAAGAGCAGCAGGCGCGCGCCGCGGCCACGTCGCCCCTCGACATCTGCCTCTGCGTCTCGTTCATCCTCAACTAGATTTGATAGAAGTAGCGATAGAAGCAGCGTACCTTATTACTATTTAATTTATATTTCCTCGAGCCATCGACGGGCATGTTCTCCGGTGCGGCGGCGATGGCCACCCATGATGCGTGTCCGAACGGGTGCAACCGGTCGCCCACACTAATACAACATCCAACGTCGTCGTCGGGGAGCGGTTCCGCTCACTTTGCCGATGCTTACGCCGCTCGACCTCTCGGTGGAGCTCGTTCCCCTCGGTTGCCCCCAGAATCAGGACCAAGCCAAGTGCCAGCCAACCTCTCATGTCGCGCGCTATCCAACAAACCGCCTAGCGTCGCCGCACCGACTTCAACTTGAACGTCGTCCATGTGTGCATGTGGGTGCTATATACGTCATGGCTAGTGACCGCGCTACTTCACTCAAGGACGTACAGACACGCGGCCAGGTTGACAATTGCGAAGATTCCACAGCTCCATACAGTCGGCTTGGCGCAGAGCCTTAGAAATGCGTGGGTCCGACCCCATTCTGTAAGGCAGCGATTCTAGACGTCCACGTACATAACGCACGTTCGGTATCCAGGATCATCGCCTTTCTGAGACCGCCTTTCCAGCGGTACCAGTCGCTGTTTGCTCAAACACGCAGGCGCGACCGCAAGCGCCCACAAGACTCTTCCCGTGGACGCAGCCACCAGCTGGTACACCTGATTACAAGTCGCTACACCGTCGGACTGCTTTCTTCTCGCGAGCGGTGGGCATCTGAGAACGCAATGGGGAGTGGCTCGGGGGCGTAGGGGGCGGGTCCTTTTAAAGTAGCCAGATCCCGTGCCCTCCACGAATCCCGGGTAGGTGGGCCAGTTGTTTTCAAGAGTACTACCCATCACCGTAGTACGCGCACTCGTAGTCGATGCAGATTTTTAATAGCCTCCGACGCCACAGAGCTGCAGTGCACCCTTTGGCTCCGTGCTTCTAGTGTTGCGCGTCAGTAATAGTACTACGGTGCGCAGGCAGGTGGGCGAACGTTGAGGAACGCGACGAGGATGAGGCGCTTGCCCTCGGTGACAGGCGCCGCGCCGTGCACCACGCGCCCGCCGTGCACCACGACGTCGCCTTGCTCGATGTGAACCTACACCCGTCGTGAGGCGATCACGTCGTCGCGAGTTCGAGCACCGTGGTCTGCGTCGGGGCAAAGTACGTGCCGCCGCCCACAAAGTCGGTGCGTTTGTTGAGAAGCACGTTGAACGAGAGCACCGAGCCGTCGCAGTGCAGCGCAAGGTCCCGCTGGGCGTCCTGTGCCGCCTCGTACTTGACGTAAAAGAGATCGCGAAAGGAGAGCTGCGTCGACGCTGGGAGTTGGAAGCGCGAGAGAATCGACGGAAAAAGCCGCGCGCTACGCACCCAGAATGTCAAGTCTGGTACGACACGGTGTCAGAAGTAGAAACACTCACCTCAGGGTGTCTTGGACCCAGTAGTGCTCACCCAGAGGAAGGCAGTAGCTAGGGAGGTCCGTCGTCGGGTACGACGTATGCCGCGTCTTGTGCCACCCCGTGACGTGCGTCGTTGCTTCGAGTTGGCCAAGCACGCGCTCACATTCTGCTTGCGTCCAGATTCTGGGAAAAATATGTGGCGTTGCCACCGCGTCTGGTACCTACCAGTTCGATTCAGATGCGCCAAATGCAAAGTAATGGTCTTCGCACCGACAAACTCGCTTGATAGCGCGCCGCAGCTATTGCTTGCGTAGCTAGCTTGCGCTCAGGCAGCGACGCGACATCATACAGTGTCGCAGCATGGAATGCCTAGCATCATCCAACCGCTGTATGTTGGCTGTACGATTGCGCGATGCGCACCTGCAAACAACCGATGAGGTCCATGGAGCCGCCGTGGAGCTGTGCCAAGTGCACGGGGCAGGTGGCCATCCAAGTCGGCCACCGTCGCAAGCAAAGGGTCGGCTTCCA